CGAGAAATTACTTGTTGAGCAAGTCGCGATTGTTTACAACAACTTTGTCGTCATTTTAGGAAAGAATGTCTCTGGGGAGCCATCGGTAGTCTGTGATTTTCAATTGAAGAGCTCTCCCTCGCTTTTCACCTCATTTTCCTTTCCAACATGGCTTTCTCTGTAATCGACGGAAAGGATACAGATAGTATTATCACCAACGGTAAACTCGTCACTGGTCGATTTGCACTTCGAACCAGTTCTGCACCAACGATCGCCTTCGAATAGATTACCACCTTCTCGTCCACCTTAAGCTTTAGACTCAACCACGACCTGCATTACAAATTTAGAAAGAAGGAAAAATTTCACTAACGATTCGATACGTTTATGCTTTCAGTTGGAATCGCAAAGGGTATACGCGGATTTTCAAAACCAGGCCTGGTTCCTGATATCAAAGATTGACAGGAATAACATAAGAGATCCTGTGATCAGAAGACGTCTCAGATATCTGTCCATCGTTGGACCATCTGCTCTTCCTCCAGATCAATTAGATAGGGTAAATGATTCATTAATTATCATATAATCGGTGCATCCGATACCACCTGCAATATATACAGTTCACTTTAGAGATTGAAATCTTTGATGTAATCGAAGAGATCATTAGGTGGCAGTAATTAGGCGTTCACTACTTAGAGTAGTACGCAGATTATGCATTCAATGATCGCTTATTCAAACGAGATAAGAAGTATCTTGATACATATTCACATTATACAAGCTAAATCTGTAATCTAAGTACCTATATGAATTTCTTATGTGGATAATACTATTAAAAGCAAAAGAGTAAGAGATTATTAATGCTTGCGAAGGAAAGCGTTCTCACCGTAACAATTTCAATAAAATTAATAAAACTTTCCATATACAGAGTGTTCCATAAATAATTCAAATGAGAAGATGTATGATTCTGCATAAGAAACAAGTTAAAAATATTAACTAAATTCTTATTTACATTATGGTAGAACGAAGAAAGTGGTGAAATTTCATTGAATATTTTTGACTTCTCAATTTCTCATTTGTACAACATATTAAGCAACACCATTTCGTTGAAATTGCTAATGTAGCAAATGAATAGTAAAACGAAACCATTCACGCGGTTACTTCCATTTCGATGACCGAGCAATAGATTCATCTCGTAACGTCGGTGAAATAGGAAGTATCCTTTCAGCAAGAAATTTCCCTTGCTCACACGCGCCGAATGAAAACTTGTCGAACGAACGTTGCCCGCGGAAACGACAAGGAAGAACGTATACATATATCCAAAGATCCCGATTTTCTTTTTCTTTATACAAGGAAACGGATACAATTTAACGATGAAATTTCCCTCGATCATTTATTTGTTCATTTTTTGTATTTCCAGTACAATCGTGTGATCAATGACATGCTGGCAGTTTACAACGAAGCCAACATTTGCGCGTACAACGATCCCTTCCGGTGTGGATTACGCTTGTATCCAGGTAATTAATCTTTTCAGAAGCGAACATTAGCGGGATTATGCACGGTTCAGAATAGGTTGGACAAAAATCCTTAGTATAGGAGAAAATCTTTTTCATTCCATAATGAAAACGCGTTACGCGTTCGTCCTTCTGGCATCATCGATCCGTAACAGAATGATTTTCCGTGGGCGTGGAAACTTAGCGTGAAAATTCCATTAGGAATTTCAGGACACAACGGCATCCTTAAAAAGCGTTACAACTTTTTCTATGACCATGTGTTACGTGTTTGTTCCTTCTGCAAACGCTGTGTCGATCGAGTAAATGAACCGTAAAGCAAGTAGAGTCGTACCGAAGATCGTAAACTTCCGTGTTCGTGCGTTGATTGCCTCCTGTGGTTTACGAGTCGTCGTTCGTGATGGACGATTGTTAATATGCTCGAGAAACGTTTCTATTTTATAGATGTATCGCAAATCATGGCGAAGAGTCGGAATTGGGACGAATTGCAATATGTGTGGACGGAATGGAGGAGACGCAGCGGTATGAGGATTAAGGACCTCTATCACCAACTCGTGAGTTTGAACAATGAAGCGGCTCGGTTAAACAGTAAGTTAAATAAGAAATATTTGAAAAATTTTGAGGAGTCGCACAGGGTTAATTATTTATGGTAGAAAAGGATACTTTTGGAAGCTTCTCTTCAGCTTAGGAAAATTTTTATACAGATTTCACCGACGCAGCCGAGTACTGGATGTTCCCTTACGAGTCTCCGAATCTGCAGCAAGATATTGACGAAGTTTGGGAAATGATAAGACCATTGTACGAAGAATTACACGCGTATATTCGAAGGAAACTGAGAGATTTGTACGGACCTGAGAAGATCGGCACTCATGCTCCTCTTCCAGCTCATATTCTTGGTAGCACACTTTCAATCCAATTATCTAGAGAGATAAATTAGATATTATAATAGGTATGATTAAAATTGGTAGGAAATATTTGGGCACAATCGTGGACCAATATCATCGACGTGACGATACCTTATCCAGGGAAGAATTATGTGGATGTGACGCAGGAAATGCAAGCGCAGGTAACAGCCATTATATAATCCTTATCAAATAAGTTCACTTAAACCAGGTCATTGTTTCCGAGTGAAGTCGAAAGTAAAGTCTTACAATTTGAAAGTAATGATGAAGTAAGCGAAGATTTGTAAAAGTAGGTATTTCACTCACCTATTTCCATCGAAATCCTCTTTTTGCTTCATTATCCATTTAAAATGGAATTTATTAAGGAATGCTTATAAATTCTTCGATCGTACAAGATCAGAGTTGATGTCCCGTTTTTCTGTGTATCCAACTTTCACACACGAATTAACGCAAATTACTAGTTTCACGAGTACAGAATAAAATTCTGGAAGAACACGTTTATTAATCGTAAATTGGTTTCTCGTTTTCAATTAAATCTTACTATGCTAGAATGCATTTATGAAATAACCTTTTCCTCTACCATCGTAAAATTGTTAATTTATTTAGGGTTACACACCCATCGAGATGTTCCGAATCGCGGAAGAATTTTACCTGTCCCTGAACCTGAGCGCCATGCCACCTGAATTCTGGGCCGGAAGTATAGTATCAGACCCAGGAGATCGACCTCTGATTTGCCAAGCCTCTGCATGGGATTTTTGCAATCGCTTGGATTACAGGTAGCAATAGCACGGATAAATTCATTGTACGTGACTGGTAAACGATCAGCTGTTTCTTACCCTCGATTCCATTGATTGTATCAGGATCAAGATGTGTACCAAGGTTACCATGAAAGACTTGATCACGGTGCACCATGAAATGGCCCATATTCAGTATTTCCTAAGATACAGTGGATTGCCACGAGAATTTAGGGACGGTGCCAATCCAGGTACAGTATCAGTATTGCAAATATTTTATTATTTTAATAAAATACGCTTGGTCAGTGGTGTCCCCCATACTAGTTAACGTGTTAAGAAACAAGTATTCGAACACTATCGAATCGGAAACGGATGTAGCATCAATCCAGAAATCAAAGCGGCATCGCTTTTCTCTGCTACAAAAACGTGAAACGAATGCGCGATCGACGAAATAAAGCTGTTTAGAAACGAGAAATATAAAAGAGGGAACGACACGCGATTCCATGCTGAACGACACGCGGTAGTTACGTAAGCGGTCCGCTCCACTTCCGGTAGGAGGTCCACGCCAACTTTTACAGGTAATAGCGCGAAAGCGAGAGTGAGAACGACACGCTCGAGGTAGATTTGCGCGAGTACGAGCCTCCTGTCCGAGTACTCTCCACACCGTACGCGAGATCGTTAAAATATTTTTATTATGGTATAATCGCGCTTTCACCGTTCCGCCAAGCCGGTCGTTCGCCTAACCAACGTCGCCTTTATGAAAATAAATCTTGAACGATGCCTGCGACCTTGCCTACGCCTGCTTATAGAATCCCACAAAAAATCATTGCAATAAACAAATATATCAATTATTATTAACACGTCGACTGCTATGGGGATCACCTGAAATTGACGCCTCAAATGTAAAAATTAAAAGCAAAGAAAAATAATTTGAATATCGATCCAGGATTTCACGAGGCTGTGGGTGAAGCTGTTGCCCTCAGCGTAGCAACCCCTCGCCATCTCCAAACCTTAGGGTTGGCCAACAATTACATCGACGAGGCAACCGCGGATATTAATTACCTGTTTGCTTTGGCGATGGACAAATTAGTGATGTTACCCTTCAGTATCGCGATGGATAGGTGGCGATGGGACGTCTTCCGTGGTTACGTCACTAGAGAAGACTACAATTGTCATTGGCATCGTCTGAAAGAACAATACTCTGGAATCAAGCCACCCGTTCTGAGATCGGAAGACGATTTTGACCCTGGTGCGAAATATCATATCCCAGCTAACATCCCCTACATACGGTGAGTGATTTTCTCAGCAAACCTTTCACTCTGCAAATCAATTATATCCATTCGCCATGAACATTCAGGTGCAGCAATCTCTGTAATCGATCAAATTTTCGGGCTGGCACGATAGGAAGTAATCGAAAACGATTACATGTACCGGGCAGTTTGTTGGTTGGCCAGATGGAATGAAAGTTTCCCTTTCTTCGACCGATGTCCAACTAATTGCTGGACTGTTTTTGTTGCGTGTTAATTACTGGGCCGCTTCCGCGTTAACGGATTTGCAAGGAAGGATAAAGAGAAGGGAAACGATCGCACACTGCCCGTTTACTTTCGAACTTTTCCGGGAAACTGACGTTCGTTACGGGCGTAACGTTGCGTTACCGTGAATCGCGAAAGTAAAATCGAAGATGATATCGCCAGTGTTCCGCGTTTATCGCTCTCCCCTGGACTGGGAAACAAACGTTACGAAACCAAGAAGAACGTAATCCTACTATCATGCTCTTGATACAAACTAGAGTCAATGTTTTATTGAAACAGAATATGATTCCGCTATTCGAGGATGGAATATGATTTTTGTATGAGAGGAACAGGTTACGAATTGAAACACCATTGATTTTGCTCTTTGGTTTTATTAGAAAGAAGCGAAAGACACGGTGGTATTCGTCGGGCCAAGCAAAGTTCCCTTGCTCAGCCCGCGAACGCCAAGAGAATTCTTTGTACAATACAACGTGTACGCATACAATGTGTGTATTCTTAGGTACTCGAGTATCAAAGGGTATCAAAACGCTACAATCTACGTGAATCGCTCGACTAAAGCACATAACATTTCGAGAATCCCCCTTCTTCTAAATAGCTTAACGTAGATCCTAAGTGCAGCGACATTCTTTCAGCGACGATGATTTACAATAAATATATCCCTTTAGATTCGCGTCAGAAGTTCAGGTTCAATCTTGAATAAGTAGAACCTACACAACGCGACGGTTTGCGATCAAACCGATGGCGACCTACTCCCATTAATGACCCCCGTAGCTGGATTCGTAGCCCCCGTATTCGCCCTCACCGCCGTAGCCTCCTCCGCCGTAGCCTCCTCCACCATAGCCTCCTCCGCCGTAGCCTCCTCCACCGTAGCCTCCTCCGCCATTACCACTGTGCACCGACACAGGAACCGGTACCTTAACTGGATAGGGCACAGGTTTGGCCACAGGTACAGGCACGTGTTTCGTGACTGGAACGGCTACCGGTCGTTCGACGGGTACTTTGACAGGGTATGGTACCGCCTTTTCCACGGGGTATGGTACGTGCTTCTCTACCGGGTAAGGTGCTGGTACGGGTACCTTAACTTCGACAGGTACTGGCTTCTCTACCGGCACTCCAACTGGTCTCTCCACGTGTACCTTGACTGGATAGGGTACCACCTTTTCAACTGGTACTGGTACGTGCTTCTCGACGGGCACTGGATACGGTTTGGGTACGTGGACCGGGTACGGTCTTTCGATGGGTACGTTGACTGGGTACGGTATCGGTTTCTCGACGGGGAACGGTTGCGGTACGTGCTCCACGATCTTCAAGGGGTACGGTACCGGCTTCTCGATCGGGTACGGTTGTGGTACAGGTACTTTGACTGGGTATGGAATCTTCTTCTCCACTGGGTACGGTTGTGGCACGTAGACTTTGTGAGGTACCGGTCTCTCTACCGGCACGTGAACCGGATACGGTATTTTCTTCTCCACTGGATAAGGTTGCGGAATGTGTACAGGTACTTTGACCAGAACCTTCACGGGTATAGGTATCTTCTTCTCAACCGGGTACGGTTCAGGTACGGGGACTTTGACTGGGTACGGTATTTCCTTCTCCACTGGGTAATGAACCTTCTTCTCGACCGGATAAGGTATCTTCACGCTCTTCACGATCGTGATTTCTTTGACTTTGCCGCCCTCTTGGTAGCCGTAACCACCGCCGTAACCACCGCCGTAACCACCGCCGGAACCACCGCCGGAACCACCGCCGTAACCACCGCCGGAACCACCGCCGTAACCCTCTTCGTAGCCGCCTCCATAACCACCCTCGGAACCGCCACCATAACCACCCTCGGAACCGCCACCGTAACCACCCTCTCCTCCGGACAGAGCGATCTCGTGCCCTCCGCCGTAATCACCACCTCCTCCACCTCCTCCACCTCCTCCACCTCCTTCGTAGTGACTCAATCCTCTTTTTTCTTGTTTCTTCTCTACGGTCGAGTCTTCGGTCTGGACGTCTTTGGTCGTCTCTTTTTCGCAGAGAGCTGTGGCCAGCAGGCCCAGCAATATCGTGGATACCTGAATGGATGTGAAAAATTCTTAGAAAACAAAGCCTCGGATGAAATAATTTTGGTTGATCTTAAAAAGAATTATCACTTTCCCGATTGTTTATTTTAAAGATCTATAGTTTCAATGTGGATAGAACGAAAATTTCCGGAAGTATTTTTCCAAGTCCGCGAAGGGTAGATACGCACGGTACTCACCAAAATGTTCATGTCTTACGGACACTTCGATATCTGGTCGATGTCCAGACCTCACTGGATACTTCCCCCCAAGATGCCACCGTCTTTATAGCCCGCTTTCCCCCGACCATGGATCGCCAGCGAGCCCCTCTGTTCACGGAAAAGTGAAACACACGGCTCGCGTCTGGCTCGCGACGTTATAGCATTTTTCTAAATCCTGCCCAGGCCGACACGCTGCTTCCATAACAGCGTTCACTGGCGTAGCACACGCCTGGATCCTCTTCCAGGGTGAAAGGAAAGGTGTTCAACTGTTCACCGACTACCGCCTCCTGCCGTCTCCCGTTAAACGACCGACCGATTAACGCGTAACGACGTGAAGAAACTGTATTTAGTGTAAATATCAACTGATAAAAAATGCACGGAATTCGTCGAGTAAGAGTAGGAATAATTTGGAGGTGTATTTAAAGGAAACGAACAAAGTTTCACGGTATCAAATGTTTCAATACTTAGGTAATCGATGCGTTTCTGGTAACGCAAGATTGGAAATGTCGTAACAGTAGAAAGGATAAAATCTACATTCACTAAGCAAAGAGACCAGTAAAACCATTAACCCCTTCGCATCCAGGGACAGGATATCTCACGATTGATTTCTTGCTATTAAGGAAGCTAATCTCGTGAGAAATTATTACTCCGTTTGAAATCTATCTTCCTGTGAAAACGCCTGCTATAAACAAGTGCGATCGTAATCTTTCTTTAACTTCTGATCAAAGACAACCTTCGAATAGTGTTAGTATATTTTGTTTTAAAAATTTGAGACGTCAGCCTCAGTGATCCCCCACACCAGTCGACTTGTTATTGGACCAATATATTTCATAAAAATTAAAAAGATAGTACTCTACGCCACTGATCTCGTAAATTCGTATTCAAACTCCCCGGACCTCTCTACAACAGCCAGGAACCTAAGTGTTCCGTCCTTTTCTCGCAAAAGTGCAACTCCTTCCATATCTCAAAGTTTCTCGCCAGGACCAGTGCCCCCGCCGTATCCGGTCCCCCCGGAAAGACGTGCGCGTGACTGCGACGTTTACAATCTCAACCGAGTCCTCTGATCCGCGACGAGATCCTTTAGTCGGACAAAGAAAGCTTGAGGAAGGAAGAGGACTCGGGACGGGAGGGTGAGGAAAATGAAAAGCGGTGAAAGAGGGAGATGATCGAATAGAGGGGATCAATCGAGGGATATACGATCCGGATGAAACTACAAACTTCGAGATCGATCGCGTAGATCCTAGTCGTTGCAACGCGTCGATGCACCTTAATTGCATTAAGGATCGGAGAAATTTTTCACAATGACTGTTGTTCGTTCTTTTTGTAGAATTTTGTGTTTCTTTAGAAACGAACGATTTCAAAGAGAAAAGAAACAATTGGAATTCGATTGGTAGAATTTTTTTAAAATTCTTACGATACACGCTTGTGGAGTACGTGGAACGTTTAATTGCGAGCTCAGATATCAATTACAGTCTTATGAAAGTGAAATGGCGAGGAAGCGTCGAGGTGGAGGTACAGTGAAACGCTGCTTGATTGTTTTGTAACGATAGAACCGTATAAAATGAAACAGGAACAACCATGGGATAACATGTTAAAACGTAATTGTATGCAACTGTAGAACGATCAGTCTGATATAATCAGATATCGATAAACGTTGATGTTGATCGAGGCAAACCGCTTTGCAAGACCGGAAGAAGGATATCTGGTATTAAGCGGGAATTTATAATTTCTGGCTATCGAATAATCTTTCCGCGAGGTTCTCGGCTTTTCTCGCGATCGGCGAAAGGTGTACGAGCGAAATTTCCGCGAGTTTATCGTTATTATTTACTATTCCATTCCGTACACGGTAGAACGCGTCGAGAATTCGCGATGAAGATGTTAATGAGCGAACGCTTCCTCGCGAGGAATTTGTTTCAAAGTGAAAAAATAAACCGAGCCTCGCAAGGAGCACGCATATCACGCAACATTTTGGAAAGGATAAAAAACAAAGTATACAAGTTTTAGGTTTTATTTTTATCGAAAAGAAAATAATCAATTCCATCGATTCAAACTTATAAATAAATTCTTACATACTTCAAACGTTCTTCCTATATTAAAAACCCTGAATATCTAATTCCAGTGATTCAGTCGAAATAAATAACATATTACGAAACAATTTTCATTACAAACACTATTGTAGGTACCTCGACGGTCTACGCGATCTGTCTAGCTCCTTACGTCTGTAACTCCTTTCAGATTTCTGATTCCAGCTCGAGTCTTCCCTGTCCTTGAACCCGTGACCTCCTTTCCAGTCAAGGTTCACAGGTACCGGTACCTGTACCCAATAAGGAAATGGTTTCTCTACCGGTACAGGCACTGGCTTAGTCACGTATACCTTGTAAGGTCTGTCTACTGCTACTTTGATCGGTACATGGTAAGGTTTCTTCACCTCCACCTCGATAGGTTTCTCAACAGTGTACGGTTTAGGTTCAGGTACCTTTATCGGCACCGGTACCGGCCTTTCTACCGGTACTGGATACGGTGCGTCGACGGGTACCTTAATCGGTACATTATACGGTTTATCGACAGGCACTGGATACGGTTTCGCCACCTCTACGGGGTACGGTTTAGGTACAGGCACCGAATATGGTCGGTCCACTATTACTTTGACAGGTACTGGTACCTTGCTCTCCACCTCGTAGGGCTGAGGAACTTTAACCGGCACTTTCACCTCGTAAGGCACTGCTTTATCGACAGCGTACGGTTGTGGTACAGGTACCTTCACCTCTACCGGTATCTTTTTCTCCACTGTGTACGGTTGAGGTACAGGTACTTCGACTGTGTAAGGTACAGGTCGCTCCACCTTCACCTCGTACGGTACCTTCTTCTCAACGGTGTACGGTTCCGGTACTTCGACCGGTACGTTCACGAACACTTTGACGGGGTACGGTACTTTCTTTTCGACGGTGTACGGCTGAGGTACAGGTACCTTCACTTCGTACGGTACGTGTTGGTACACTGGGTACGGTACCTTCTTCTCGACGGTCACTGGTACCGGCACCTTCTTCACTATGGTTACCACTCTTGCCTTCTGCCATGGTGAAATGTCCTGGTAGGATTCGCTTCTTGGAAATCTTCTCCATTCGTCGTCGATTTTACTTAACCATCCTCTGAACCGTCTTGATCTGAGGTTTCTATAAGGATATTTGCTCCAATCCTCCGTGTCGTCTTCTTGATCACTTTCGTTCTCTATCGAAGATGAGCGACTGAATTTGTTAAACTTGTCGTTGTACGAAAAGTCCTCGCGATAGGGAGCCTTTCTCACTGTTGAGTGTGATTCCCGAATGGTTTTCGTTTCCGTGGTGGTGTTTCCGCTTTCCAGTGCCTTCTCAACTGCTCTTTCGGCAGCCCTCTCGGCTGCCTTTTCCACCGCGAGCTCGGCAGCCCTCTCGAGGTCCTCTCGACGAGTGGCTGAACACGTTAGGACCATCGAAAGGCAGGCTAACGCCACTATGCTTTGTTCCTGAAGAAAATTGATCGCATAAATTAGTAACTAGAATTTTAGGCAGGGCTATAATTTGGAATAAAATTGAAAAAGTGCAAATGACAAAGGATCTAATTAGTCGCGTATTTCAAAAACTTTTTAAAGTACATATAGGAGGTATCAAGGTACCAACCAGACGTCCCATGATGAGACGTTTCCAGTCGCGACGATAGATTAAGATGCACTGAATTCAAGTCAATGGTGCTCTGGTATTATTTATACACGGTGGACGACTTTCGCCGGTCCAACCAGCTTTATAGACTTGCACTACCTTGTTCGTAACAATTATCCGCGGTTAAACGGTCATTGTTCTTCATAGAAATTAACTGAGCAGAGTCGAGGATCACGGAAACGGCGGAGAACCGTACAAGGAGTTTATTATTCCGATCGTAAAGTCGCTTTTGTTTGCCGCAAAGAAATTCAGAAAAGGTATGGAAATTATTGTCACGGAAATACTCTTGCGTTTTTATCAACCACGAAGTTTCTAGTAACTTCTCTGAACTCTGATTTGTTTTATAATATTAGGTCTTGATCGTTGGTGTCTCATCAGGATAGTTTCAGTTTAATAATCCAAGTTATTTTATATCTGACTATACATCCACCCTGTGGTGATAAAAAATTATGCTCGATTCAGGGCTATAAAGGTTCTAGTTCATTAATCTCACGAACAAGATGCATTCACGTTTGACAGATGAAAGTGAACAGCCACTTTCTATAGGACAATCGTAAAACCGGACAAACCCTGCTATTTTGTTCTGGAACAAACGAAGATACGTTCCTTTTTGTATTTAACGTGGAACTCGTTCGTAGAACAGAAATGTTAAACGATCATCACTTGCCACGTTCTTTTTATTACCATTGTCCTTTTCGCATCCTGCGTAATTCCACCGGCAATGATTTATTATATAGAACGACACTGTTCGTACAATCTGCTCACGTTCTTTGATTCTTTCCGGTTCTCTTCATCGATCACTGCGAACCATCGAGTTTCTCGTGCAAGTTCAGTGAAACCGAAACCGGTATAAAAGTTCTCTTCTGGCTGCTTTGCCATTTTAAACGCGCCGCTTTCTTCTTCGGCTTTGATCGCCGACTAGAAATTTCAACGCGTGCTATACGTACCGTACCGGTTTATAGCTCAGAATCTAAATAGCATTTTTACATTGGTAATTCGAAATTATAATACTATAATACTAAGTTGGCAATTAAAATTTTCTATTATATAAGTTTCACATTTGTTACGAGAATATTAATTTGATTAGCTCATTATTCTAATAAAATATTATAATTTGATAAAGCTTTCATTTAGAAGCTTTCATAGTATTATTTCAATGAAATCTTTTTCAGACGACTCGAAATTGCAAGTGATATCGCGTCATATTTAATTAGCATGATTCAATTACCATAAACATATCTGTAGCGAAGCAATTATGCGAAGGGTGAAAGTAATCGTGTCTAGAATAAATCTAGCATCTTGTAGATTTCACAATTCTAGTTTCCTTAATTTACGTCAATAGACTCGAACAAATTGAATCTCGCTTTCAAGCGACAACAACTAATTGAATTTGGCGAGAAACAATTATTTCGCTATTGACTCTGTGGTGGAAATTGATTGAGGGAATTGTTGTTTGATAAAATTCATTTATTTTCTTACAATATACAACCTCTCGCGGAACGCGTGCGCACTAAAACTGAAACTAAATTGTCGATACACGTTGCAGTTTTATGCAGTTCTTCCGAGAAATGCATTTCACCGTAAACCGAAGTCTGACAATCAGAAAGATGGCGTTATCTGTTTATTTATAAACTAACAAATTAAGATAGAACTTCTCTGAAAACCTACAAAATTTTTTGAAACAGATTCCAAGATTTCTCTCGCTTGCCATTATACAAATAGCATTAATTAAACATTAAAATACAAAAATAGTGAATTGTACTTCGCAATAGTTTCTAGATGCTCGTAGAGATACATATGCCTCGACTTTTCAACACTCCTCTATCTTCGTTCTTAAATTCAATTCTTATCCAAAAATTTACATATCAATTTGGAATTTAAATAACAACTCTACGCCTACACAAGCATCCTAACGAAACAATTAACCTACCATCCATCTTCGATCACGATTCATCGTTTCCAATCGTAATGTTCCATCGGATGTTCGAGATTTTCACGATGTGCCGGTACAGGGACCGCCACTTTGATAGGATAAGGAATGGGTTTTTCGACAGGATAAGGCACAGGCTTTGTCACGTGAACGGGTACGGGCCGATCGACCGGTACTTTTACGGGTACGAGTACCGGTCTCTCAACGGTGTACGGTACCTCTTTTTCGACTGGATAGGGTGCAGGTACAGGGATCTTCACCTTGACCGGTACTGGCTTGTCGACAGGCACTGGTACCGGCCTAGGAATCTCGACCTTCACAGCCACCGGTACTGGCTGTTCAACCGGATAAGGTACCGGCCTGGATACCGGTACTGGATAAGGTTTAGGTACCGGTACAGGTATCGGTTGCTCCACCTCGATTCTGATGGGATAATGCACCACTTTCTCGACAGGATAGGGTTGAGATACGTGTACAGGCACTTTCACCGGTACCGGTATCTTTCGTTCGATAGGGAACGGTTCAGGTACTGGTACCTTAACTTCGTAAGGGACCTTCTTTTCAACTGGGAACGGGTCTGGTATGTAAACCTTCACTGGTACCGGACGATCGACAGGTACCTGGACTGGATACGGTACTTCTTTGATAACAGGTACCGGCCTGGGTACCTTGAAAGGCATCTTCACGAAAACCTTCACAGGGTATGGTACCTTCTTCTCGACTGCATAGGGTTGAGCTACTGGTACCTTGACTGGGTATGGTATATTCTTCACGATTGGGTACCGGACAGTTTTCTCAACTGGATAGGGCACAGCTACCTTCTTTATAACTGTGACCATTTTCTGCACGTCCTCGTGAACGTGGTGACCTAGAACTTGACCATCGTGTGGAACACCGAGCGGTACTCCACCTCCGTCGTAGTCGTGAGCGAACGTCCCTGCCTCTTCCAGGTCGCCTCTTACAGGAAGATCGTCATAGTGGCTTGTCTCTAGATGTTCGTTCCACGGTTGATCGTGATAAGGGTCGTCTAAAATTAGAGTCCTTAGCTTGACCGGTGGAAATTTAGCTTAAGGTCCATTTTCAACATATACTCACAGCGTTTTTCGACAGATTCTGATGAGCCCGCTCCCTGGTCCTTGTCCTCTGAAGTATTTCTTAATTGTTCTTCAGGAAGGTAGAAACTTCTTTGTAGTCTCATATACGTTGGCCTCATCGTCGTGATTTTGTATTTCTCTCCGGTAGAGGGATCCTCATCTTCCTTAATAGGTGAACTTAGGGCTGTAGCCACAAAGAGTATCAAGAAGATCGCCATATTATTCTATAAAATAAGTGAAAATCTATTCACAAAAGCTTTCAAAAAATAATTCGTTACGAGTAAAACATTTGTTAACACTTTCGTCTACGATGAACTTGAAGCTTCACTGTCACACCAAATCAATCTCACTCGAATCTCCTCGGTTCTGAAACGTACCCTGTACCCCATCTTGAGGTCTCTTCAAGGTGCAGATCTTACGGTGCACAATCTGGACTAGATGTAAGTAAATCAGTCGCGTGGATTAGCTAGCTTTTATAGTTTCTTGATGCCGATCCGTAGGCTGCACACGCCGATGGATTCACCAAAGAGGGAACCTGATTTACTTTCGCATCTCGTGCCTTCTCGAAGAGAGTGAAACTCTTCGTGATATTGTTGTGAGGCAGATAAATCCGTTCGGAAAACTCGATCTTCCACGGAGGTGGTTTGTGTACAGGTGAAAAGAGCGACACCAAGTCTAATACTAGTTTTTCCTGTTGGTAACCTTGCAAAGCATTCCATCGAGAATGTGGATCGTGTTTTGATCTGTCTTTTAGTCACGTACAAATCGAAAGCGAAAAATTCGTTCATGATGGGATGAGAGGATTCTTTGACCGATCTGCTTTGCGATTTCTACTCGAAAGCGAAATCAAACCGAGCGAGTCTAAAATTCGGCGGATATTCTTACTTTTTTTATTCGACCCGACTCCAACACACCCAATACATTAATAATACTTAACTAAATTACTATTTAAAAACTTACATTACATTACTACCAGGTAAATGCCAATTTTTATAGTCCAGTATTTTATGCCGTAATGGAAATGGAACAGCAAATCGAACGTATCCATCGAGAGAAATTAAATAGTTTCAGTGTTAAACAGAAGGATCATTAAGAAACAACATTCAGTCTTCCGGGAAACGACCAGAAACTCGAGTATCTTTAGGTGAACTTTCACGGCCGTGTCGATGGAAACTGCGCTGTTGTAACAAATAAAAACAGAGTGGACAATTCACGAAGGTACACGTAATAGTCGAAAGAGTCAAGCATCAGTTGGCAGTGAAAATTGTAATTATCGTGTTTGATAGAAACCGTTTTGCCGAGATTTCACGGTAAACACGCGATGATTACGAGACCGTGAATACGTTTGATCCCGTTTGCTTTTGGTTCACTTTTTTTTTCATCGTACCAGAGAGACTCGAAGGATCATTGCATTATACATGGTAATTTTTTCCATGCGCGTAGTCAGAGTCAAGGAGAGAGTATCATCTCGAGGATAATGAAAATTTATGCTTTTATGTCTTTGGAATCGTGAAAAGTAGATTTACTTTGAATTTTATTTTATATATCTTGTCTTTTGTACTCTGAAATTCATTTTCGCTTTCTGAATTTGTCGATTATTTGAATATTTTTTAATTTACATTTAGGGGAGTTGAATTTTGTAACGTGTGAATTTAAAGTTTCAAGATCTGATTGAAAGTTTAATTGCTTTATTTCAGCAAGTGAAGAGAATGCAAGGTTGAACGTACGGAGATTCAATAAATAGTCTTTCCAACTATGTGTAAACATAGAAAACTCGCAATTTAGAGTAATTGCTACCACTTAATGGTTTATCGGCACGCAATGTGATTTAGATGAGTAACCTGATAGCGAGACGGCGATCTCGATTTGAGGAATGCTGGATAATTACATGGCACGCGTGTTTAGCATAGTTTCCCATCTTCGCTTTCGATGCGTGCATAGTAATCAACTTATAATTGTACATCATAATTGAGATACTCTGTTTCAAATGAAGCAATTACGAGTATTATATCGAAGACAGTAATTTTCAAACATTTAAATAGAATCTAGATATCGTTTTGCAATTTATCGAACGCTGTTCATTATCGATAGTTGCATTCTAAATGCAACTGCATTGCAGTGGATGCAATTGAATGTACCTCTAGCGCCACCTAACAGAGGAATACCGCTACTACTGGTACGAAAGGCTTATGGTAAATAGTAAAACACACCTTTTCTCTGTTTTACCATTTACCGTAAGTATCGCGTTGCTTCTTTATTGACTGTCGTCGAAAGGAAGAGTTAAGGGACGCCTCCACCAGGGCGCGAAGGCGCTGCAATGATTCAAACACAGAGAAAAAAATCTTTTGAAATTTAAATACTTTTACATTCGCCTTTTTGTCAAATTTAAATAACACCTTGCAATTATAGCCCTGTAATGTTAATCTGTTTATGAAAGCACCTGCTTCCAAATTTGAAATCCGCATTTCGGAACAGTTAGAGACCAAGGAAGGGAAGGAACAAAGGGTGCTCGTTTATTTAAAAACGCGTAAAAGGGAAAGGGATCGTTGAACGCTGAGAACAAAGGCACGAGTTTCTCTCACGACGATCTTTTTCTCGTCGGAAGGCGAAGGGAGGTCTCTCACTTTCAGCCTCGGTCGCGTGCGACTCGATTTCGTAACAATCGCTAGCTGGTCCGATGGACGAGCACGTAAATCCACGGTTCGCGAGTCAAGTAGCCGGTTGGGCACGGTCGAAGTGGGTCGAAGCTTAGAACTTAACCGTGGACGAATTAAACTTGGAGGCACGATCTTCGACACGCTCCGTCGCCTTTTCCTAAAGAACCTACACCACTCGGTGCGATCTTAATTGAAGATTCTAACGAATGCAGGGCCACGTGCGCGATTCCTTGCTCGCTAATTAATCAATGAGGATCGTGCACCACTCTTTGTTGGCAAGTTATCATGGTACAGGAATTGAAATCATATAGAATCCACAGGGTTGCCTAACAAACTCATCCACGTAACGATGGTAATTGAACGTTTCCGAAGCGTCATTGCTAAAGCTTCCGGTTTGGTCGTTTCAAAAGGGGGACTAGGTTTTTACATCTTCGACGATCGTTTTTCCTTCGATAGATAGATGAAGGCAATAATTATTCAGAGATCTTACAAAAAGGCAATTTCTATTGGCACTTGTCGAGGAATAAATCAAATAAATTGGTATTGTTGAAAGAAATATTAAGGTCTTCGTTTCTCGTCGAAGCTCTCCAATATACACAGACCTCCTCGATGGCTGGTTCTCGCGAAAAATAGAAACGGGTCGAAGAGGCAGGGTGGTATCGAGCAGAGCGTCGGTGCAAATTACGAGGACACGTGGACGATAAGGGGACGATGAAGAGCATCGATTTACTAGGGGTTTGGCAGCGAACGAACTAGGTCGCGACTGGCACCATCCGATTTTCCGTCGACGATGAAATCTTGGCCAACGAATGGCCACGCATGGTCGGCTCGAAGAAAGTTTTAAGTGGAAAGCGAAATATGCATTTATTTCTGTCGATTGAATTGAAGAGGAAAAATATATGGTAAATAAAGGAAAGCGAGTATTCGATCGTGACAGGTTCTCTATACAATTTTCACGAACTTGCGAAAAGGATTGCGAGTATGGAACGATGGTTAACGATTCGGAAAATGAAAGTGGAAATCAATGAACTAGTGACGTTCGGTCGAAGGGAGAAAGAAAATTTATGAACGAAGAATCAGAAAGAACACTGTTGTATGTATTCTTTACAATTATTAATATTTATAGTTCGTACAAAAATACATGTATTCTGCTATATCGGTAAAAAAAAAAAATAGATGAGATAAGCGAGCTGTTTTCGAGCGAAGGTCACTAAAGGCAGCCTCCCAGTATGGATCTGCCCGGTCCTTTTTTGAAGCCGTGACACCCGTCGCCGTGTTGCGGGGACTCGATACGATCCACCCGTACGAAGAGAGCAGCCTTTGATAGTGACTCTGTTCGCCGCCGGAAGTCCTCCCCGTCGCCCGATCCAGGTACAAGAAGAAGGCCGTTGTGTATCGTCGCGTACCATCAACATCCTCCTCCGACTCGTTTACGTTTCTATCTCTCTCTCTTCCCTGTGTTACCTAAAAGTGTTGGACTGCTTGGTCACCGATGCACGCTCCGATCGGCGAGCAAAGCAGCCCTATTCCAATTTTTCTGATTAATGATACGAGTAACCATGGCTGCCTGACCAATCGTTGCTGTAGCTGTGACTGTAACCGCTGTCGTGATGATGAACAGGAACAGCTACCGGAACTTTGACTGGGACCGGTACGGGCTTCTCGACCGGGTAGGGTACTGGTCTCTCCACGTGGACGGGGTACGGTCTGTCTACCGGAACCTTAACTTCGACCGGCACCGGTCTCTCCACGGGGTAGGGCACCGGCTTCTCAACTGGGTACGGTTGCGGAACTGGTACCTTCACGGCGACGGGGTACGGTTTCTCGACCGGTACAGGGTACGGTCTGTCGACTGGTACTCTGACGGCTACAGGCACTGGCTTCTCGACTGGGTACGGTATATGCCTCTCGATGTGCACGGGGTAGGGTTTAGGCACCGGCACATGGATCGGACGGTCGACGGGTACCTTCACTGGGACCAATCTCTCCACTGGATAGGGTGCTGGTACGTGGACCGGAACTTTGACCGGCACTGGGTACGGCTTCTCAACGGGGTACGGTTGTGGTACCGGGACCTTCACCGGGTACGGTACGTGCTTCTCGACTGGGTAAGGCTGAGGTACCAGAACTTTGACGGGATATGGACGATCGACGGGCACATGGACCGGGTAGGGTACCTTCTTCTCCACTGGGTACGGCTGTGGTACGTGGACGGGAACTTTCACGAGGACCTTGACTGGGTAGGGCTTATCGACAGGGTACGGTTGTGGTACTGGAACCTTCACTGGATACGGTACCGGCTTCTCGACTGGGTAAGGCACGTGCTTCTCAACGGGGTACGGAACAGCTACGTTCTTCACGACGGTCACGGTCTTCACGTGTTCGTGGTGTCCAGCGTCCAAAATGTGTCCACCGTAGCCACCGGAGTATCCCAGGTGTCCGTATCCACCGTTCAGTTCCAAACCACCGTGTCCACCTGCGCCGATGTCGTATCCACCGTCGTAACTGTAGCCATAACCGAGACCCAACAGTCCGCGCTTTTCTTGTTTCTTCGTTGTCTTATCCTCCACCGATTCCACTACTTTCTCGTTCTTCTGGGCTTCGTCGGCCCATACGGCCGAGACCAGCAGGGCGATCGCTGTCGTGTAGACCTAGAAAGCACAATTCAGGACGTCAGTGTCTCCGTTGTTAGACCAGTCACGTTCGAAAACCGAAAACGATTCGAGAAACCGGTTGAAAACAGATCACGAGCAGGAATTTCTAGTCGAAAGATACTCTATCTGGAACGCGGTAAATCTTCAATTTCGGAGGACCCAGTTTGCCGAGGATTTTCGTAAATTTTCAAACAATAGAAATCACTACGCGATCGAAGGATTATGGAATGGGAACCGTTTCAATTTCCGGAAAATCAAACACGTAATCATCGACTCCCTAGAAAAGGAAAGCAACGGTCCCGTATCGGAAACTAATGGAGAATGAAACCGCGATACACTCCCTTGGCAGAGATCGTTCACTCGGCGACGAAAAGCGTTCTATCCGCGTCACTTGGTCCTCTCATTTTTTTTTTTCTTTTTGTTTTTTCGGATGTCCCGTTTTCAACGTCGATTCGTCGTTACGTGTTTACCACGAGCACGTACCAGAATTCTCATTTTTGCTTCCGAGATATTCCAGGTGCGTCCAGAAGTGAACTGGATGCTGATTGCCGTCGGTTCGTCGCCTTATATACGCGGCATACTTTCGCCTTCGCCACCCGGGCCCAACTCGCGTACCCCCCACGTTACACCTCTTTGTTCGCGTAGAACGACCACGATCGGCTACCACTCCCCTTTGGGACACACGACTCTCCTCCCCACGCCTCTCGAAAACGTCCCTCTCCTTGGGCAACAGTTTCGTTTTCTTCTTCGTCCGCGGGATCCCCACTGTACAAGCCTTCTTGTACCGCTTCCATCGTTATGCGGATATTCGATTTCCATACCCTCCGCTACGACACATTTTATTTATTAAACAATTCAAGTGTAATCACTCTACTTATCATTTTTTGGGGGATGATTGATATTGGGTGAGTACAATGGTTTTGGATAGTTCATGGTTCCTAGATTTGGTACTTGGATTTAAACAGGATCTAATTAAGAATTGGGTCAATTAAAATTTGGTCGATCTAGTTTTGAATATTCACATTGTTAGATTTATTAAAAAATTTCCATTTCAAAGGTAATGCTAGAAACAAACAAGGGTATCCTAAAATTTTCCCAGTCTCGTTGCATCGATCCTTTCCCGTCCTTTATCCGGCACTTTGACTTCCGGCTGCACGTAATTCGCATTCCAACGTGTCGGCGCTTAAATTATCTCACCGTAATTACAATGCCTGCCTCTCAGGCCCTGTTTCTCTCCCTCTAATCAAGTTCATTGCATGGATCGCTGCAGGGTTCATTCGAAAGGCTTTGAAACTCGATCCACCGGTCAAATTTTCGCAACGGGGTCGATTCGTACGAATTTATTTTTTATTTTAATCGGAACCAAAAGTTGTATCGCCCTGGGCAGTACATCGATAAAATTGGATCGTTGCAACGATCCTCTTCCCTTTCTCCGTTAACCGTTCCGTTTTCGTCCTTCCTCTCGAGGCGATCAGGCTCGATTACGTGTACACGTTAACGTAAAGCTCTCTCTTTTTCTCTCTCCTTCTGGTAGGATTTATCCGTTGCCAATCTCGTGGGTGCAACCATTACTCCCTTTCATGAGACACGCGGTCCTGCGTCACGATTTCCCTCTCCATTTTTCCGCAACGACCCCGGTTCCGTTTTCTTCCACGTACGCCTACTAGAACACCAACCCGGCGAAATGTTTTATTTCAATATTTATCCTTGTTTCTGGCTATTACGTAACGGGCGGGTACCGTACGATGCGTGTGTACCATCGTGGAAACAATTGGGGAACCGTGAAAGTGCCCGATCGCTGGACGTTCGATGGGCTCTTTCTTTAAAGGATTCTGTTCCCCCTTGCGTAACACGTTTAAGGACCATTGTTATACAAGATTTTCATTATACGATGGTCCTGGAACGGTTTGAGGAATTTCAAAGCAGGATCTGAAAGTAGAATCTCGTCGAAGCTGGTCAAACTCTTATCTAATATCCAGTCGAGAGACTGCGGGTCAAAATCCTTAGATCATTCGTGATCCTCGAGTCGCTGGACCGTTTCTAACAATCGATTTTCCTGTAAATGTTGCATAGACATGACTCAATGAATCACATCGCCATTCACGGAAAAGGCTTCACCTTGGTTTCAATTATCATCGAAGCCGTTTTTCTCGCCTTGGATCGTACGCACCTCGCAGGAAATTAGCTTCTTTCTGATGGATCTCTATCGGAGCTATCCGCGTAGGTAGAACTGAAAGGTCAATCGATAAAATTCATATGTTTATCCTTTTTTCTCTATCCCGTTCAATTTCACTCTCTTTCGTTACAAACATTTCATTTTCCTTCCGTCATCGATGGATCGCAGAAGGAACTTGATAAGAAGAACCTTGGTGAATGGAAAGGCAATGGTATCCTTATTTCTTGCAATTTAATTCCATCCTTCTTTAGGTAGAAAAATATTTCATTTTCTA